ACAAAGTTCAGATTCCTCTATGGAGACTAAAAAAATTTAAATAATTTTTTTTTTCGTCTTACCCTACCCAAATCGGGACCAAAATTTATATGTAACATCTTCGACGTTAGTAGTATCGATTTTGGGTATTAGATGAAAAAATTATTAATTTTAATTTTTTGAGTCTCCATAGAGGAATCTGAACTTTGACCTCTGTCTCCGATCGGGACCAAAATTTTTGTGTGATATCTATGACTATATTAGCATCGATGTCGGCGTTGACGTTTAGGAAATCTGATATAATAATGTACTTAATACATTTAAAGGCCACCATAATGTGCATATGTTGACGCGTTGCGGTCAGTTAGTAGATAGCTTTTATTTTCTCTTACCACCTTTTGCGACGGTGGCTAGTTGCTAGATGTTGTCTGCGATTTGATGTTTAGTGGTCATGTATTTCAAACTATAACCAACCAACATACATACATATGCACTCTGAATCTGTGGTTATTTGAAACAAAAACTACGAGTAAATTTAAAAGATTTCAATCCATGAAAGTTACGAGAAAATGGCGTATGTATGTACATTAGGGTAGTCCAAAAACAGTAAAGTGGGAATTGTAATGCTTTCACGCCCTAGGATTGTTCTATACCTAAAAAAGTATATTTTTATATGAAAAAATATTTAGAGGTCGCTCAAAGCGTTTTCCATATATTTTTATATGGGTAAAAAACAAATTTGCGTGTAAATGGTATCGAGATCTTGAAAATCAATATTTTTCGATCGGAAAACTCCGGTTATCTTCAGGAGTCTTTCAATAGGAATACCCAATTAGAAAAATTTTGATTTTTAAGAATTCTATACCATTTATACGAAAAGTGGTTTTTTTCGCCATAAAAAATACATGGAAAACTTTTGGCGCTTTGAGCGACCTCTAAATATTTTTTGATTTTAAAATAAAAAAATAGGCGTATAATTTTTTACGGGATAGAACAATCCCAGGGGGTGAGAGCATAAAAATTCCGACTTTATTTTTCACGTGTATTTTTGGAACACCCTAATGTACATATACTGCTTTGATTGGCTAAGATTGAAATTAAATTAAATACATATACATACATATTTGCTTTCCGGAGCATATCAAAAATCGGTTTCTGGAAGTACATAGCAGATATTGATGCTAGTCTGTACATTTTGCTCTATGAGAATTTCTTCGCTCGACAGTCGTAACTATGCTACTGGAACGATCTTGATTAAGCGCTCCACAGTTTTTAAATAAACCCTGTTTATATATTTTGAAATAAAAAAAGAGTTGGGGGAGCTCAAACCTGGCTGGTTAGTGAGGTATCTGGTTATGTTTATTTTTGTTTCAGTTAGCAACAATAAAGTTCACTGAAGGACATTAATTGTTAACCAGGTAACCTAATAACCAGTAACCTACATTGTGAAAATTTGCCGTAACGAGTTTTCGAAGATACTAGATATTACATTGCCGATTAGTTTATTTTTTAAGCATTGCTATATATGCTAGTAATAAAATGGAAATGTTTAGTAAGGCTAAGAGTCTCTTTCGCCGCTTGTGAATATTTGATTGGTAACTTTAAGACCGTTAAGGGATTTCCGCGACTTTTTGCTATCTGCGTGCTCTACTTTTTGGGTTTTTTTCGAGAATTCTTTTTTCGAGATTCCTGTGGGACTTTTCTTTACGTTTAATGATTTTTTTTTTGTGGACATTTTGGGAACTTTCAGATTCAAAAGTGCATTAAATTCTTCAACATGTGATCTTCGACTGGCTTCGAACGGTAGACGATTGCTATAAGGAGCTCTATGCCAGGAGGTTGCCTATCAGGAGCACCGACTATTATATATGTTACCAGCCAAACCCGATCTTAGGACAAACTAGTTTTGCCTAGGCTAAATTAGATTAAGGGCTACAGTAGTTTTGTGCAGAACACCTTTCCGCGTAGGCGGTTTCCGGCCGCACTTCAAAAAAAAAAAAAATAACCCTCATCAGTCCAACTCCAGGTACGCAGGCCACAATATTGTTGCGTCCAACTTGTTTCCGCATTGAACGGATATATTAGATCTAGGTAGAACTAGTTTAGCCTAGGAGAAACTAGTTTGTCCTAAGGTCGAGTTTGGCCGGTAACATATATAACTAGCAGAGCAGCCCACTTCATTCGTGGTAAACAAATGAAAATATGCATAAAGCTGTAAGAAAAATTCCAAATTTTTCATAAATTAAAGGAAATAATATACTTATTTTTTTTTTTTATTTAATTTAAGGCCTCCTTATGAACACTACATTTTACTATATGGTGCGGTGCAGAAGCATAAATACTATTCGGACATCCTACACGTGAACATCCGACGTAGAACTGACCGTCGGTAAAGTAGGTGTTTTCCAGCTAAAGCTCGGCCATCTTCAATGTTTGACCCTGCAATGTATTTATCACATGTTAAAGCAAAGCCTCAGAGAATACTAAAGACTATAAAATTCTAATGGAAAGCCTGCAGCATTAAATGGTACTCCTGACAGAAACACATAACCTCCGCTACCGCTTTCAGTAATAATTCTTGCTTCAAAATCATTATTTTCTTGACTACCAATTTTATTTTATTATTAGGGTGAGGGGGATATAGGTAACGAAAGAAGAATAATATGCGCTCCAGTTTTTAAATTCAGTTTATGTGTCACGTGACTTATAGTTCCAAAGTCATGATTCTCTGCATCTTGCAAACTCTCATCCCTTTTTAGTTTACTAGAGGTCAAGCATTTAGCTGTATAATCGCAAAGATTCTAAGGTATGGTTCTCGGAATGTACTAGGTCTATGGGAGGTGCCACGCCCCCTGCTTAACGCTTACCTTCTTACACCAAATATCAGTGTCATGTAATTTTTGGTTCATAGTTATAGCTAATTACAAATTTCAAGTCAATGGGATGTGCCATCTTCCTTGTCAGAGCCCATTTTTTTACACCCTAACTCTGCTTTGTCCGAGGTTACTGTCTAGTCACCAGTTAAAGGCCCTTAATTGGCAAGTTGCCGTTGTCGGACGTTCTCGGAAAGACTAAGACCAAGAATTGATAACCTTTTTGGGAAGACGGTTAAAAAAAATCTACCCGAAATTTTTCAAAAAAAAAAAATTATTAACTTATACACTGTTGCTCACTTGTATGCATTGAAATGCTTTCATTTTTAACCGACATCCAAAAAAGGAGGAAGTTATCAGTTCGTCGAAATATTTTTTTAAATTTTTTTTATATTATTATTTTGTTTTTTTTTTATGTATGTTACCGCATAACTTTGGACCACGTCAACCGATTTCTAAAATTCTTTTTCATCGGAAAGGTAGTGTCTCAGAGGTGGTCCCATACTAATCTGGTTTAGATCCGATCATTGGATCATGAAATATATAAAATATATATATTTTTTTTAAGTAGGTTTTTTTTTGCTAAAAATTAATTGTTTCAAAATCATTTTGCTCTGATTTGCGCTTTTGATATTTGTTGTTAAATAAACTAGTGGAAATATTCTAAATTACGGCTAGATGCAATTTTTTGTATTAGCCTCCTATTCAAAATTGATTAAAATTTTCCAGATTAATATATGCATCAATCGAAAAAAAATCGAAGGTCTCCGGATGAAAACACGAGAAACCAAGTCTCTCGTTCAAAATAAAGGACTATATCTACTTTAGCAGCCATAGCAATGCAGCCCCAAAGTCCAACGAGAAATCACTCTTTCCCTCCGTTGAATGGCCGTAAAGGTTCCAGCAGTGAAAGTATTCGATGCAGTAATAGCTGGTGGTTGGCAGTTGGGGAAGAGGAAGGCCTCCTCTGCAATGAAAAGACGAGGTGGTAAAGGACTTGACTTCAATTGCAATTTCCATTCCAATTATTGATTTCGACCAAATTCTCTTAGGCGGTTACTGCGAAAAACAAGAAGAAGAACTGGTAGAAGAACTGGGTGGTGGGAAGAGGAAGGCCTCCTCTGCATAAAAAATATCAAATGGAGAGGAATTTGGCTTCAGTGGGTGTTTCTAATTGCCGGCAGCTGCAAGGCGGAATACCGACAGTGTTGTTAACACTTAACGCTGCAAATGATTTCAGCTCGAATACATTACCTTAACATTCTGCTTTATTTAAAAAGAAACACGCTCATTTGCAATTTTAACATTTTACAATTCTTTTTATTTATTTAATTATTTCTTTTTTTTCACATTATAATTTACTTATAATTTTATTTATAAATTGAGTTAATCCTTAATTATTTTTTGTTTTCGTTCAAATTTGTCTGCAATTACTTATAATTGTTTTTAATGGCTATTGTTGCATGTTGTTGTGATGGTGTGTTGGTGTTTACATGTGGAAGTGTATGTTTGTTTTACAAATTCACTTATTATGCTACTTTTTTTACTTTAAAATTGTTATGCATCCATAGATATTTATTTTTGTATTTTAATTACGATTTGGGTTTAGTTTTGTTTTTTTATTTTGTTGCACTTCAAGTTAGTTTACAATTTTATTGGAACTCATATTTCTTTTTTTGTTTTTTGTTTTTGTTGCATGCACATTTTTAACAATAAATAAATTTTCAATTTATACACATTTGAATAGCTTTAAAAGCGCCTAAAATTATGTAAAGATTTTTAGTTTAGTTTTTGTTTTTTCTATGTTGTTGTAATCTCAATTAACTCAATTAAAAAATCAACAATTATAAATAAACAAATTCAAGAAGTTGTAAGTATGTATGTATGTATTTGTTTTGTAGTGCTGTGCAAATTCATTGGCATTGGCGCACCAGAAAAAAAAATGTTATTGCGAATTGTTTGCTTCGGTGTGGCCAGCTGAATTTAATCTTCACCTGTACACACAAATAAAGTGGCATTTTTAATTGACTTTTTAACCTTGGCTCGTATTGTTTTCCATCAGCTTTGTTGGTACAGTGTTTTGTGCGTACGTGTCAGTTTCCACTTGCAGCTTGCGTGTGTGTGTGTGTGTGTGTTTGTGTATATATGTATATGGTCTTGCCTTTGCTTAAATTAAGAATTCAGTTGACTGAATTCACATCAAATCAAATCAAATCAATTCCAATGACATGATCTCCTTAAAATATGAAGACTTGCATATTTTTCTTGCCATTTATGTAAACTGTAGATATTTGAATTTTTCATCGACCAGAAAAATTATTTTAAATTTCGCATTTTAACATTTAATTATTTTAATACTACATATCAAACTTGCCTTTAAAATTTTTTAAAGTAAAATTAGCGTTGAAATTTTAAACAAATTCACTGAAAAATTCTACATTGTATGACTGTAACTTTTTATGTTCTGTATCTGCGTTAAAATAGTTATTTGTTATTTTACTAATTTTTACTCTTTTTATATTTCATTATTTTCAATTGTTTTCATTAGTTTCCTGTTATCAGCATTTCAAGCCTTTATGTATAATTTATGTACATACATATTTCATATATATTTATACATTTCCTAGACAGATCAGTTTTTCCAGTTTGCCTTTTTCATAGTCTTTTTTCGTTTGTTTTTGCTCCACATTTTTTTTCAATTTGCGCAAAAACGGTCTACACTCCAGTTGTGTCTTGACCTTTTCCTTTACCTAAACATGTCTTTTCTTTCCCTTTACCTTTCGTTTTACGAATTGTGCCATTACATATTTACAAGATGAGATTAATTTTTTGGTAGCGTCGATGAATTGGGCGTATCTTTGCTTAGAATGATTGAGCATTTAGCTTCTGAGTGAGTAAATTTTTTACATATTTCTTTATGTAACTTGTTTCGGCGCGGATGATGTGTGAAGTGTCTGTATGTCGTACGCATGATGTTTGCATGATGAAAAAATTAAAACAAAAACAAAGCAAAAGAAAAACAATAATAATGATTATGCGTTGATAATGATAATAATCTTGTAACAGCAAAGGCCTTTCACACACACGCAGTGCTCGGAGCGTCGTTCAATGGCTGTTTGGACTGCAAAGAGAGTAGATGGAAGGCGAGAAGGAGAAAAAAGAAAACATAATAATATAGATTAGTTCCATGTTGAAACTGGAGTATATTGTACATATAAACGCTTCAATGTAAAAACTGTACACATATTTTTGCCTATGAAAACAGGGCATAATTTTCGCCCATTAAAAAATTGCCAATTTCTGTTTTCGTTCCGACATATATTTTTTTAGACACTTAACAACTTAGCATAAGTTTCGGCAATTTGAAAGCACTCATTAATGCTTATTAATAAAAACAAAACTAGACATAAATGGTGGATTGTTTAAAAAATGGCTACCATTTCTTTCATTTCAAAATTTTAAAAATTTTTTTAGCCATTAAAAAACGTTGCCAAGTTTAAATTTTAAAGCTTGTTATAAATTTTTACTCGTCAATGAACTTGACATAAATTTTTGGCCATTTAAAAAATTGCAAAATTTTTTGTTTGTTTTAAAAATGGACACAATTTTTTTTTAGCCATATAAACACTTGGCAAACGTTTTTGACAATTTATAAACGAGACAGAAATTTTTGTTCATAAAAAAGACCAGACATAAATATTTGGTCATTTAAAAACTGGCCAAATAAAAGTGAGACTGAAAAAGTGGAAAAATCATTTGTATGTATAAATTTGAAAGGGACATATAATATGGACGGTAAAAGTGGAACATGACTTTTTATCGATTTATTATGGATATAGAAAAATTACCATGAGATATTGTAGTTTTTTTTTTTTTTAAATTATTCGAGTTTTTCTTCACATGCAGCAGCCAATTAACAAGGGTATGCTGTATATCCAATTTATAAATACATTTTTTTCTTTCTTCTTTCATTTCTCCATAGCCTAAAAATCTTTGTGTACTCTTTAAATGACCATAAATTTATGTCCTTTTTTGTAATGTCGCCAAATTCCTATCCCGTATTTTATTGACCAGTTTTTAAATTGCCGGTTATGCTCAGTTTATATATGAAAATAATTTATGTTCACTTTTTTGATTGACCATAAATTACTATTACAATACTTTAAAACATATAGCAGTAGATACTTAAATAACCAAAATATATATTCAGTTTTTAAAGAACACAAATCTAATAGACAATTCTTAAGTGACCAAAAATGCATGTCCCGTTTTTGAGTGACCATAAATTCGTGTCTTATTTATGCTTATGCTTCGCTCATAAATCGTGAAAAATGTATGTCCAATTTTGGAATAAGCATAAATCCATGTCCGGTTTTTGACTTCACAAATTTATATGTACAGTTTTTACATATTTAATTTTTAAACCAACTATCGTTGGCATTTTGAGTGTGTAAAAGCAGAAATAAACTAAAACAAATTATCGCTCGGTTAGAAGTGTTAAAAGTATGGCGAACAAATAAGTAGTGTTTATAAAATATTTAAAAATTATAAATTGCTTAGAGATTATTTAAGTTCCATAAAAAAAAATTATAAAAGTTATTTTAAGTATAAAAAAAAATAATTCTTACTTTATATAAATTTAAAAATATAACAAAAATATCTTAAAACAAAGACTTAATAAAAACTATTGTCTCAAATTTGTACACTAAATAAAAATGATGTAGTTATATAAAAAAATCTAAGAAAAAATATGCATAAAAAATTGACATAGAAGACGACATGTCAGGTTAAGCTATAGAAAAAATAAACCATTAAAAGATTTCATGTCACATATTATTCACATCGCCGATGCCTTTGCAAAACTCCCCATCGACCAGCTGCAATACCGTCTATCTTACGGCAGTCAAATTTTACAGGAAAAGCGAAAAAACGTATTTTCTTTAAGATCGTTGACGTTGATAGGCGGCATTTCATCTATTTGTAATTTTAAAAATTTTTTGTTGAGATAACCATTTTACGATTGTTAAGCGTTAACATCGGTGCCTGGAGTTCAGGGTTACCAAATCTCATGTTTGCCACTATGGCGATTTGGGCGGTTTTGCAAAGGCATTGGCGATACGTATAAGTACATTCATATTTCTAATAAAATCATGCACACTAGTGTTAGTAGCATTTTAGTAAGGCGTGTAGGCATGTCTCAGAACGAGAGTAAGAGTAACCAAAATAAGTAAATTGCACTTATGTATGTACATTAAGGTGGTCCAAAGAGGGTAAATTTGAAATTTTAATGCTCTCACACCCTGGGATTTTTCTATATCGAAAAAAGTATACGCCATATTTTTTATTTTGAAATCAAAAAAATATTTAGAGGTCGCTCAAAGCGCACAAAGTTTGACGAACCTATAAATTATAGTAACTATGAAAAAATGCATAAATAAACAATTGGGTATTATTATTGGGAGTCTCCTGCAGAGAAGCAGAGTTTTTTGATCGAAGAATATTGACTTTTAAGAACTCTATACCATTTCCACCAAAAGTTTTTTTCTCCATATAAAATAAATGGCGGCCGCTGAGGTGTAGTGGTAAGCAGTGCGAGCTTCCACTGCGCAGGCATAGAAGAAATTTTGTTCAAAACACCAAAATGAGATTTTATATTGCACCAATGTTTCTAAAAAGCAGACTTGTGATGTATATTTTTAAACTTTTTATTAGAAGAAGCAAATTCGAATATGTATGTAGACTAATGAGGGCAGTATCAGAGCATCCGCCAAGCGTACTATTACTACTATGCTATATAAGTTACGATATAACTGAAAACTAAGCTAGGCTTATACTAGGTTCACATATACATAAGTACATTATCCCCATTTACGAGCTTACCACCCTAATCTGTAATTATAACAAGAGATTAGCCATATAAAATTCGTCCCTTGTTAATCTGTAAATATAAAATAATCTCAGATTTAACCGATAACTTTTATTATGGCAGAAAAACGTGATCACGGTGGCACAGAGAAGATACATAAATTTTCCTTGAGGTGTGAGAATAACAAGCACAACAAATTTGACGGCTAATAATCTAAGATTTGCCTGTAAAAACGGGTTGATTAAAGAACGAGCTTTGATTGAGTTAATATTGATATGTGAACATAGTTTGAGATACCATATTTCTTAAATATTTTTTTTTCTGCAGTGCCTAAGAAATTCAAGTAGCATGAGAACGCTACTCTGATGGCATCGTATAAGCGTTTATCCTCTCTTTGGCACATAGCGTCAAAGGTGCGATATTTACCTAAACAAATTTTGAAACCTTTACGGACTCACAATAGTTTAGAAAAATTTAATCCACCTAATTAATTAATCAAAATTTATTAAAATTAAGTTAATGCAATTATTTATTTGATTTCCACTAAAATACAATCGTTTATTGCTGCTTGTTTTTTATCAGCACTAATCACTTACTATTAGGAGCTTTTTAAATTAAATTAATATTTTAGATTGATTTCAATTAAATATGCTGCATAAAAATTAGGTATTTATTAAAGTCATATTAAATAGGAAACTATCAAATTTAATTGCCACACATTATTTAGAGCGGAATAAATCAGAACGTTGGAAAACATACAATCTACATGCAAATAGTATATTGTACATGCATACTATGTTTGTGTATGTATATGAATTTGTTAAACACTTTGAAAGTGATAGCAGAAAGCATTTGTGTAGTTGTGGTAAAGTTACGAATATCTGCTGTCAACACGTATTTTGCTATTAAATAATACGCGAATAGATAACGAAAAAACTTTGATTCTGTTGAAAAAAAAAACAGAAAAAAATTATAGACATGCATGTATTTATTAATGTTTTACATAAGTAAATACACGCGAATGTGGAAAATGTATAAATAGAAAAAAATATAACTGAATATAAATTACATGGTGCTGAAATTTGTGCATTTTCTTTTATTATACTAAGTTGCATTTGAACGAATATTTACAGAAAAACACATGCTAAAACGTGTATTTTGTTTAGAAACATTTATTTATTTAACTATTTTATTTTATAGATAAAATGCTCGCAACAAATGTAGTAAATAGTACAACTGCATGTTTCCGTTTATTAATCAATATTTTGTTATTACATACTGTAGCCAACTTTAAAACGTTTGTATGTACATTAGGGTGCATCAACCCCCATGGCAAAAAAATCGCTAACTGCTTTTCCATCGGAAATATAAAGTTTATAATATTTTAAGTCGTCCGCCAAAATCTTTGGCAAAATATTATGATTTAATGAGCTGGACCTAAGGCAGAAAATCGATTTGTCAATAAATAAATTTTGTTTTAAAAATTATTTTTCTTAAAAATCAACTCACATTATAGAAGACTTTAAGGTTAAAAGTTTTGCATAAAAATGTTTAAAATTTTTTATCAACTACATTCAACAATTTTATTGAGTTTGAGGGCGTTTTTCGTGAACATTTTTGCGGAAAGCAACAAAAGTTTACGTGGCGAACTTAGCTCAGCGGGTAATTTATACTGATTTTTTTTCTGCAAAAATTTTCATTAAAAACGGCTTTAAGCTCAATAAATTTTTTGAATATAATTGTTATAAGGCCATAAATACCAAAAAAAAAAAATTTATTAAAGAAATCCAAATAATGAGATTCTTGGAAGTATCAATATTTTTCCGAAATATTTTGACTGAAGTCTTATAATACAATAAATTTTTTAATTCCGTTGGGAAAACTAAAGCTTTTTGTGATGCAACCTAATTTACATACATACATAAGTAGTCATGATGAGACATTTATGGAAAAAAATTAAAAATAAACTGTTGAAAAAATACATTAATGCAATATTCGAGTTATTCAATTGTCATACATTTATAAGGACCGTGGAATAACATAAGTATCTATGTAATTTTTCTCATATACTACTACTAGCTCGCCCTCACAGGCTTCGCTGAATATATGGAATTTCAGCTACATGAGGTGTAATTAATTTCAGTTAAGCCAAATATATATTTTCAACCAGCAAAAAATCTGGGAGATTTTCAGATTTTTCTTTTTTAAATACTATTAAAAATATTTCCAAACTTAAACCTTCTTCAATCTGCTTA